TTTAAATACCTCAAAATTCCATGCTACATGTTGCTGTAGTAAGGTTATTGAAAATAAGAGGCAAAGATACAAAATATTACTTCACAGCAGACTTACTCCTGTAGCATTATATAACGTGGAACTGACTCTAACCTCTTTTGGCAGCTGTCTTTCCTCACGGTTTCCCCTTTTGGGTTGCTATCCACTTCTTCTATTTACAGTTTGCGATTTCACACAAAAAGTGCACTGATGTGAACTGTTTACACTATCTGCCCAAAACCAAAGCTGTGTCCAGCGAATAGACTCTCCTAACCAGAAGCAACAACATGCTCCTAGGCTTGCCTCCCATCCACAACCACTGAAGAGGCAGATTAATCACTCACGGTAAATCAACTCAGTTCTTTGCAGAAGCAGAAGTGTTCTGCCTTGTGAATGTCCTGCACCCAACAAAATGAAACAGGCTTATAATACTGTGACTCAAGTCAAACCTTATTTCTTCATATTTTTCTTCCAAGAAGCCAGACTTTCTTAAAATTTTTAAAGTGGTCTTGAGTATCAATTCTCCTGGCTTTCTGAAGGTCTCTGAAAGTTTCTCTTTGGACATTGGCTGATTTCTCTTTCTTTTTCAGTCTAGTCCTTGTACCGGACCATGTTCTCAGTTTGTTTAACACTGACCTTTGAATCATTCTGGCATTTAAAAGATGGCATCTAACTCAAAAGACGAATCAATTTTGTGTCTACACATGACAGACAGCTTTGCAAAGAACCAATATTAAATGGTATATTTAGACACTTTAATGTTCCCATTTCTTTAGTTAACTATACAAAAAATACTAAAGATAATAGAGTCTGACAGACATAAGATAATATTTTGCAGCGTAAAGTAGCAGGCCTAAAAACCTGAAAAGTATTGAAACTCTGTAATCTAATAAAGACCTTCCACACGACCTGAGTGATGTGTCCTGACAGTTGATCCATTTGCAGTTTGCCGAAGCGTCATCAGAAAATAGTCTCAGTGGAAGCGTGGCTGTCAAGAAGCTATTCTTAACCCTTTATAGCCAAGTGTATCATATTTGGTACATGAGCTTTTGAGACTTCTACATCATCAGTGTGATTCCCAGATTAGACATTTCTGGTTTAGATAGTTTTGTTAAGTGTGTCAGGAGAGATATACAACAGTATATGTCTACAGCTATCTGTAAAACACAGTGGAGGTTTTGTCATAGTTTGTATTTCAGCCAGTGGTGTGGTTGATCCACCATGAAACACCATCTGTAAAGCATTTGATTGACAACGGTTTCATTTTTCAGACTAATGATGTTTCCAAACATACTGGCAATGTAATAAAAACATACCTAGATA